CCAGAAATTTCAACAAATCTTTCATTTAGAAGTATATGTCAAACAAAAATGGCAAGGGTAGTGAAGAGATTTATCGAGAAGTGAAATGGACAATAGAATCAGAATTTATTTTCTACTATATATGTTCAGAATTTATATCCTACTTCAGTCTACTCAATTATGAACAAATATCTGAGTGGATTAAAGATGTTACTTTCATCAAGTACGCTTTTTTTATTATCTTATATAGATCTTATTAGTGGCACTGATATCAACTCGTTCATAATTATAAAAGATGTCTTGAAAGCACAATAAAACTATTTTCTTAGAAAGAACGAAATAATTGTTTCCGTGATATCACAGCATTGGAAGTTCTAGATGAAAGGAAGAGAAAGAATAAACTTCTAATGTTTCAAATGATATGTTTTATTGATGTTAATGCAAAAGAAAGAACATGGAAAAGAAATTACGTTTTTTTTGGATCGTAACAAGACTTCAAATAGACAATAGACTTCATCGGTACATTTTTTCAGACTTGATATAAGCTTCAAATATTTGTTCGAAAATAAGTGTCCTATATAATTAAGATTTTAAGTTTTCGTGAGACTATTCCACTCATTCATAAGCAATACTTAAATTAATATTTTTTTCGAGTTTTATTTTTGGAAAAATAGCTCAAATATCATCAAGACCTGCACGATGGAAGGTTTTCTTTTCTCCTCTTTAATTAACTGGACACCTAATATGAGAATAAACAAATTTGAACATGTTCATGTCAACCAAAAACATATATGATGAAAGAATGATAACCAGCAAAAACACAATTGCAAAGAGATTCAGAAAGCAAAATACCTCTGCTTTTTTCTTTAACAATATTTCATTCTCTATAATGATTTGTAGGTATTCATTAGCAAAACAAACATGCTGTACCAAAACTTTTTTACCATTATCTTAAATTAGTTCTGAGTAAACCTTTTATTAAAAGCTTTAAGAAATTCAAGTGATAAATTTCATACCAGAGATCACAGACTCACCTAGTTTCCTTGCCTCGCCTCGTGGCGAGGCGAGGCGAGGCAGTATTTTTCGCACCGCGACGAGTACGAGTTGATTTCACGACTCGCCGAGTTAACTCGCCCATACTTGTTAGTGATTAAATAGTAAATCACTAACGATATCTCCCGTTTCTGTTGTTCACTTTTTGAAGAATTTCTATTGGTAATGAAGTTAAACAAATCACAGCAATAAATGAGTATGGATATTTACGTAATACGTATACATTATTTATCTATTCGGCCTAGACGAACAATTTCATTTATACAATTTCTATTGTGAATTTAACAAAGGTGACTAGACCCTGGACAGTTCCATATCAGTTCCGTTTTTGAGAACTGTTCAAACAGTTCTTTGATAGGAACTGATCTGTCCAACCAGTTCTTTTAAAAGAACTGATCTGTGCCTACCAGTTCTTTGATAGGAACTGACCTGTTCAACCAGTTCTTTGATAGGAACTGATCTGTCTAGCCAGTTCTTTGATAGGAACTGATCTGTGCCTACCAGTTCTTTGAAAGGAACTGATCTGTCCAACAAGTTCTTTGATAGGAACTGATCTGTTCAACTAGTTCTTTGATAGAAACTGATCTGTCCTTTTACTCAACTTTTAACCGTCTTTTAGGAACGTTCCTGAAAACATCAAATAGTGTAACGTTTCAACTGAAAACGAATGTTGATTTGTTGACGATTGTCTATTTATATAAACTAATCGATTGATACACACTATAGATAGAAAACATCGAGTTTAACATCAATATTCAATATATTGACAACGAGAACATTCTTTTAGACTCAAACGTTCGACAATATTCTATAGATTAGTAGACAAATCTATAAAGAATGTTTTACACCGAAATTATGCTTTTTTTATTATCCACTATATACATAAACGCTGACTCGAAAACTCAATAAAATGATCATAAACTGGCTCTAAACGATCATGAGAACGAACCCTTTTCGATTGTTTCCTAGCATCCCTAAGGTATCCTTATAGGGATTAGTATAGACTCTATAGGGGATATCAGTTCGGATAGTTTCCTTGTGTCAGAACATACCAAAAATAGTGGTACTACCACTATTATAAAATATAGAAACGATCGAGGATGTTTTCTCTCAACAATATCCGAATTGTTGAGACAATTCTCTATGATTCGCTATATTTGACTATTCTTTTATACAACGGTTTTAGCCGTCGAATGTGTCCAGCAGAACCGGCATATACACATATACGCCGATATAATGGTTATATCTAAAACGTGCCATACAGAGAAAAAATGTTATATTCTCAGATCATCATCTCATATTTTGCACAAGCATTCATATCGACTTCTCAACGACGAAGAAAATATTCAAATAATTGAATATCCGAATCTTAAAGGGACTAGTTGAGTAAAGTATATTACAAATCTCTTCATAATTATTTTTTATATACTTGTACAAATTAAATTGTACTTTATATTTGAGTAGAAAAGTATATTTTATACAACAAAATCAATAATTAAATTATTTTCTGTATCATTGGCAATATCAAATCTGTTTTCATGACCTTTTGCAATAAAAAAATTAGTGAAAAATATATATTCTAGCTTCCCATTCTAAATTTTTACAAATATAATAATAATACCATTTTGGTTATTTCTTTTTATTATTTTTTTGAACAACAATTAGTCAGTAGCAAATTAAAATAAGTTTATTTCACATTTCATGGTTGTAAATATCTTATAAAGATATTTACGTTTGTTTAAGTCTTGAACGTCATATTTAGTTCATCTGATCGATACAGAAGTTTTGTAATTGTAAGTACATATGCTCGAATCTTCTGTTCTCCCAAAATTTCAGATAGGTGTCGATGGTTCGGAAAAAAACTTATAAAGATTATAGGAAGCAAAAATATCAGATGGGCATAGAGACCACGAAATAAAACATATACAGGAAGTAAAAATTTTTTTGATAATTATTAAAATTTCGAGTGCTCGGATTTCCGACCACTCGATATTGTACGGTTTTTACCCATCGAAATTCATTGATAAAAGAGAGCTCGAAAATGACTTACAGCGTGGCAGTCGCAATTCAACTTTCGAGCCCTCGAAAGTCAAAGATATCGATTGAAAAAATACTTGAAAATTAAACTCATCGCGGAGCCCTTGACCTATCGAGAAATGGCACTCCGAAGGCTCGATTTTGAGATTCAATGCCCATCAACAGCCGAAATCGATGAGTCGAAATACCTATCGAATGACTGCTTGAGTTTTATCAACTGATAGATAATGTGAGATAAAACAAACGATTTTCATGTTAAAGATCCTATTTTAAGGTTTCGTAATATCTAAATCAATAATATTTTAGTCTCGTCTTCATATTTCATTTGCTTTTCATGATATTTTTTTAATATAGAAAAGTATCTACCAGAGGACTAGATAATATGGCTGGAGAAAAAAATTTGATACTAGATGTAATTATCTTCAAACATAGACCTTATAATCGAATATTGACTGTATATCAGATTCAATCAAGAAAAATTAATTTAATTTCAAACTTTCAATTGTCTTGCAAAAAAACAATTCAATATCCTTTTATTTTATTGATATGTAAATATAAAGAATTTACAATAAGAGAATTTCCTAATATAATTAATGTATTATTAAAGCCAGATATGAATTTCATTGGAAGTAACTCGTAATCGAAATGGTTGATTAAGTGGATAATGATGTAATTGTCGTCGAATTAAATGTGGAAAACAAGGCGTATCAGAATATCTCGAATTGGAAAAGGTGATACGTAGCGAAACAAGTTTTTGTAATTGATCAACAAGCAGATAAATAAGAGTAACAATACGTTTTGTAGATTTATTTTTCCCATCAACAATACAAGATGGTTTCCATCGCCATTGATCATATCCATCAGAAATAGAAAATGAAAGTTTCTTCAAATTAAATAATCGATTCGACAATAATGTACAAATTCGTTGAGCGTTTTGCTATGTCAATATTATATCGAAGATCTCAAATGATTTTATCTAATTAATAGAAAATATAATTTATCTCAAGAAAATAAAAATTTTTCTTTTATTTATTTAAATTTAAATCTTTTTCTTTCCACATTAAATTTTAGGAAAAGATCTTTTTAAAAGAAAATTTGAACATTAGTTCAAAATAAAATTTAGAGAAAAAAAAATCACTTCATTGAGATTTTTCTTTTAAAATAGAAATAGAAAATCATTACTTGTTGATTGATAAGAATTCCGAGATTATGATTATTTAATATTGGACGAAGTAAAATTCCTCTATCATCAAACAAATTTAGTTTGTGTACATTATAAGCCATTCGTAATATTGATTCGAATATGGCCGGAGTAAGAACATTACTATGATTGATTGAAATATTTGTTATAGATGACCACGGAACTAATGATGATATAGAACTTCTACACTTACCGAGTTCTCGAAGACAATTGTTCCTCTTAGAACCACGTAGAGATAATGTATCAGCGCGTGGAAATAGATCTACTGGATTAATCGGCATTTGACAACACCTATATAAGAAAAAAAAAAGATTTCTATTCATATTTTATATAAATATGTTCTAGATACTTTTAAAGATTTCTAGAGAACATGTATGATGAAAGAATTGTGGTATTATATGGTAAAGTATATATCCTAAAAGAATGATATATAGAACTAAAATCTCGATCATCAAGTTCTTGAATGAACACTCTCGGTCGTTGTCGATGAATAAATGGAACTTTCAAAAATGAATTGAAAATTATTTTTTCTTCAAAGTCATCCAGAACGTATAATAATAGATTAAGAATAAGTTGCCGTTGGTTGAAGACGATCAATACACAATTGTTGAATAATGTCACCTGATATAATCAATGGATCAGCTATTGATGTAAATGCTTCTAATTTTAATGACAAACGACAAAGTTGACCGAAGACAGATGATAAAAGTGCAATAATTCGATGAAAACTTATGCTATTCATACAGTTAATACATAGACGAGATAGATATCGAAGATGATGAGCATCAATACTAGTAGGTAATCTAAATAAAATTCATGTAATTGATAATTTTACCAATGATAGTTGTTACTTACAAGATTGTATCATGTGTATTATACTCATCACTATCTCGATCTTTTATACTGAAAGAAAGATTCTCAATGAATGGTATACATAATAGTAAACGCTCGAGAAAATGTGACGTATGTATACCAATAGTCAATGTACAAAGATGATTTGTATTTAATAAATTCGGTAAAGTTATTTGATATTCTAATGAACCATTTTCTATTTGATTAACATTCTTATAATTATGATCAAAAGAAAGTCGACGAATTTTTAGAAGACGCATTCTTGAACACACCTATTAATAAATTAAAAGCAATTAGAATTTATATATCGTTATATCAATACGTTTTTATTAATAGAAAAAAAAAATCAGAATTCCATAGTGAATCGAAGTAGTAGTTCTTTTCTTACCTTAGCTAAATAAACTCCTTCAACTTGAAGACATTTAAACAAACTAGATGATGTCACATCAACTAATAAAGTATGTAAGTGTCTTATTACGTGATTACGCAATAATTTATCAAATTCATGTGGTTCGATGCCAATCAGATGTAAACGTTGAAGTAATGATATCTGATGATACTGAAGATAAGATGAAACGAGTGACCATCCACCAATAATATCAATTAATGTTAAACGTAATGAGACAACCCGACTACCTATTAATTTTAAGATATTTTGACATTGAGCATTAAACATCAATAATGACATTGTTCTATCACCAATATGAATGTTCCATAAATATTCATTTGATATAATTCTTGATAAACGTTTAGTCAATAAAAACAATGATTGAAGAATATAAAATGAAGACAAATAAGCAAAAATTTCATAAAGAATATCGTTAGGTAAAATTTCGAATGAATTAACGCTCATGTTTTTCTTTTATTTCTGTTGTATCTTCGTAGTCTTTATATATTGACATACACAATGGCATAGTTTCGTCTATTTTGTTTAACGAATCATTTTTTTTTCTCATTTCTCTCTTTCTTTCGAAACAGATTAATTTAAACAAAAAAGAAATACAAAACAAAAACTATTGGCATCCATATTATTCAATGCATGCTAATATAAAGTAGTTTTTTTTGTTTTAGCTCTAAATACAGGGTGGCCCAAAAGTCGGTGTACCGAACAAAAAATTTCATATCTCCATTACGGCTCAGGCAAATGAGCTGATTTTTTTATCAATGATAGAAGCATGTTCAAAGTTTATATTCAAAAAGACATGCCCAGAGAAATCCTTTGTTAAGTATAACTATTGACCTTAACAAAAAAA